CAGATGAAGATTCTTTTGGCCCAAGATATCCCGAGGCCAGGGTCTAGCACTAGTATGTATCTGCATTGATTTCGGGCTCGGGCTGGCCTTAATTTGATGGCTATCTGAGGGGATGTCCTGGCATGGGCATCGCAATGCGCCCCAGCAACGGCCACGACAGCGGCATCGGCATTGGCATCCCATCTGCGTGTTGGTGACACACGCACAAGGCCTGTGTGCCTCTCCGTTCCTGGGGATGGAGGACAAAGACGACGCTCAAAATTGCTTATCAAAGTTGCACAATCAAAAAGAAGCAAATGACGCACCAGCATAACAGTGGGAAGCGGGAAACGAGATGGCGACTGGGTACTGCCGCCTGCCGTTGCAAGTCATACTCGTATGCGGGAGGCAGACTCGCAGAGAGCTGCTGCTGCTGCTGCTGCTGCAGAGCACTACGTGGCGTAGACAATCAATCGGTAATGTGTGCAAAACAAATCAAGCAACACAGTGCCAGATATAATCAGCTCGATGCAAACTCTGTACCAGGGATGAGCACGAGGGCAGGCCACTTCAGTACACTCCCCACGGCCTCCCCCACGGAATTCCCAAGTGTTGCAGTGGAAAATTGCAAAATCATGTTTTTCTTATTGGAATTGATGGACAGGCGGCATCGGAAATGCACTGTGAAAATCCATTATTAGGTGGTTCAAGATGAAACAACTGTTACGATGGATGTCTCTTCGTGGATAGTCCACTTGTGTACCCATGAACTCGTATCGCCATGATTTATCGATGCTGTCCAATAACATAATAATTTTGGTTGTATAATGAACTTACTTGTGGCCGTATTCCCTGGGTACATCCATCGCTATGGCTCTGAGTTTATGCAGGGAAGTGTTAAATACAACTGATAGTCTTCCAATACTACTCTGCTACTTTCATTACTGTGAGACAACAACTTTAGAGCGTTTTGCAGCCCTGAAAGAAATCACAATAGATCAAACTAATATCATATATCAGTAGTCCCCCACATGCATAAGCAGTCGTGGAAGGGGGCCCTGTCAGCGGGCCATTGCTGTCGCCGCGGGTCCTTACACTCCGCATGGGAGTTTGTAGCTGCCGGCAAAGGTCTTCGTCTGGGTCTCCTTCTCACCATTTTTCATTTCATTGCGCCGCTGCACATGGCTGTCAACTGCCAGTCGAAGAGATGCGGCTCAAGGGAGGCAGATGGATAAGGAGAGTTTCAGATGGACGACCCGCCCGCCCGCTCTCCTTCAGCTGCAACTTCCTTGTGAGGCGCGCGCGACGCCCGCATATCGATTTCAGAGCTCAGCATTTTGCCCTGTTCGCATACAAATATCCTAAGGACATGTCACAGAGTCTCTGCCCCTGCCCCTGCCCCTGTCCCAGCCCATTTGCAGACTCTGCCACACGTACGCATGTAAATTGTACTTGTGTGTGGCAGGCATGCTCGTATTTAGAGTCCCCCCCACATCTCTCTCTATCTCTCTCTCTCTCACTCGTTCATGGCAAGTTCCCCTCAACACTCTCAGCCTTGTGCCTGATTTCATTTGCTCGGGCAATTGTCTTCGACTGCGTCTGCTTCGACTTTATTTTTGAAAAAAATGAAAGATGAAAAAAAAAGAGACGGAAACTGCCACGCAAATGCAAATTCCTTGCTCTTTTGCCACTTGTCAGGCATCCATTCTTTCTTTGCCTCTGCCGAAAAGCTCCTCTCCACTGTATTTGAAGACTGCGAATTGGCCTGCGCCCTGCCCGTGCCCGTGCCCGTGCCAGTGCCAGGTCCTGGCCGTGACACTTGATGTTTAATTTCAATAACTCTCTGTGCGTTCGCATTTTGAATTTTTTCTCTTCATCGGCTTTGGTTTTGGGTTTGAGTGCATGGCATTGACATGGCCCTGAATCCCAATTCCAATTATAGCTGTCCTAAAATCGAGACGAGTGTAAATTACACTTGGATGCTGTTTCCATGCTGCCAGACACAAAGGATTCCTTGGTAAATACTTGTAAAATTTGCAAAAAGTGCTTGTCTGTTCAGTCCTGAAATGAGTCAATGAGATTGCTGTTTGTTTACTTAACATCAGCAAATATTTCATTCAATCAAAATAGCTTAAAATTCACATGGCTCTACACAAAGACCACATCCTAACAGCGCGCGGTTCCAACGTCCAACCACTGGGCAACACATTAAAATTCAGAATTGATTCCGTTGCCGTGTTTCCTGTGATTCAAACATGTAGCCCCCCGCCCGTGTTGTTCCTCGAAATCCAATTATTTTACCACAATGTCCGAAATATAATTTAGATTTTGTAGCCTCAATGCCATCTCTCCCGGCCGCTCCTTTTGTGGTCAATTGCCACAGAGCGTAAAACGCAAGTTGCAGCCAAACCAAAAACAAAGAACTCATGTGGCGGCTTGGCCTGCAATTGGGGGAAAGGTTAAAATTCCATTTTTTGGGGGGGGGTTTTCACTTTTCATTCTTGTGCGTCTTTCTCTTTTTCCCTGACCCAGAGCACAGCGGGCGGCCGAGTCGGAGTCGCAGCATGGCGGGAGGTGTGAAAGTGGCAGGTCAGAGGGAGAGACAAGAAAATTTCATTGACTGACTGCTGAGAATTAATTGAGGCAACTTGACAGCTGCCCTGGCTGGCTGTCCGAGAGCCATCCCCATGCCCATCAAAGGTACGCCGACAGGGCTTAAAGCTGTTTTGGCCTTAAAGCTTAAGAGCCAGCAGCAGAGACAGCAGGAGACTCCCGAACAGAGTTGTCAGTTGTTTTCTGTTGCTGCTGCCAGCTGTTAATGAACATTCAACTGGCTAATTAATTTTATACATTTATTAAACTTTGCCCCTAGCAGCAGGAAGAGCCTGCCCTGCCTGCCCACCCTATCCCATCCTATCCCATCCTATTCTATCCTGCCTGCCATCCCACAAACTATTTACCATACAAATCTAATTTTATCAACTTTGTCTTTGGCTGCTTAACTAGCTACAGCGTCTGCCAGTTGTCCCGTGTTCTGTGTCCTGTGTCCTGCTGCCGCTGTTCCTTTGTCCGCTTGCTTTTCCATTTCCATTTCTCTCTACTATTTCCCGTTTTGTCCTGTCCTGTCCTTCCATGTCCAATGTGTGTGTGTGTGTGTGTGTGTGTGTGTGTCAAAACATTGTGACACAGTTCTGCTTTCTTACAATTTGGCCCGCTCTTTAGTTGGCCACGTTTGTTACGGGTCTCGCGCCATTCTTTTGGCTCATTAACGTTGGCCTTTGTTTCGTCCTGTCATCGGGAGTCGTCTGGCGCCATCGGCAGCCGGCAGTCGTGGGTCTCTTCTGCATCTATCGCTTTTGTGCGGTGACCATTGTAATCTACAAAAGTCCACAGAGGGGGGACTTGTGCCATTTCTAATATAAATTCAACTGGAGACGATGCTGGAGACTGTAGTTGTGGCTATAGATGGAAAGAACAACGCTGGCTGGCTGGGGCATGTAAATCAGGTCACAACAATGCAACTGACAGTGAATTGTGTCCGGCTGTCGTCCTGCCAGTGGCTCTGCTCTCTCCGTCTGTCCATCTCTTTCTGTTACCGCCTCCACAATGACACATTCAGGAATCCAACAGTTTTACTTCATTATTGGTTACTCAGCAATTCATTCACAGGACACACCTTGTGCCCGTCTGTAGGTTCGTTTCGTTTCCCTTCTAGTGCCTCTCTCGCATTGCCCTTTTTATGGCCATGTCCTTTGCTTATCCTTCGCCCCTGACTAATGACAAGTAGTAGCAGCAGCCATCCAGCCGGGGTTTCGGTTTCGGCTTTAGCCTTTTGCCTTTTGCCAACCACTTCGCCTCGACCTGGCCCCCACTCTGTGGAGACGCTTTCCCAGCATCTCCTTTGGCCAACTTACAGGCAGAGGCAGTGGCATAGGCTATGAGGGCGTGGCTGGGTCTAGGACTGCGGCAGGTGCGCATTTTATAACAAAGGCATAAATTATTTCTCCTGTCAACATGGGCTTCTGTCTCAAACCTGTAAATGGCAGTTGGCCCTGCGAACTCCCTAGCTTATTGTTTGTCTATTGATTTGAATTTGCCAGAGGAATTATGCAAGCTACGAGGAGTATATTTTGATATTTGTTCGTAACGCCCAGACCAAGTGTGTGTGGTATCATGGCCGTTTGTTTAATTGTTATGGATAGTCCACAGTGGACTTGTGCAATCTGTTCTGTGTGGATTTGCACATGTCCGCAAGCGAACATAACAAATAAATCACATTTATGGAGGTAAAAACTAATAAAAGTCAATAAACATCACAAAAGTTTTAAAACGATTATTGTAGACACAATGAGCCAGATATAAAATCTAAAAATAATTCGAACTTGTATATTCTTCATGTGAATTATACAACTGATGTTTCATATACTTGCTGGAGTGCCATGTGAGTGTTCTTATCACATGATGAATCTGCACGCAAATCGGAAACGGCGATTCCATCTAATTTGATCTTTTATTTTCCACTTTACACTGAAAATAAAGACACAGCACACACATAACTGACTCTATTTATAAATGATCACTCTTCAGACTCTTTTTTGTATGACCCAAACTACTTCGCCAGCGAATTGATAATTTGGCCGCCAACGCTGACAAAATGTTTTCCTGATTATGCGACGAATGTGTTGTAAATTGGTCATCTCGAATTGGCTGGCGAATCAATTGTTTCCCAAACAAAGGCCAACAATAAATGCATAATTGATTTGTTTTTGGCCAGTGACTAATTGTGACTAACTTTGTGCCCAGTGGGCAAAATGCGAACTGATAATCGCAGTATAATTACAATCAAAAATGGCAGGGGGTAGATTCTATTGTGCAATAATTGTGCACATTGTGCGTAATCAAATTCCGGCACTGCTATCTCGCAAAAAGTTTAATTTGCTTTAATTGTGCAAAGCACTGGACGTGCTCTGGGGAGCCGGTATAAAAGCCACCAACTGCCCCACAGAACTCCAACAGTTTCGGTGCTCCACTAAGTCCACTAAAAACAAAACGAAAACATGAAGTCAACTCTGTTCTGTGCTGCACTGGCCATGTTTTTGGCTGTGGTCCAGGTATGACAATGTCCTCCAGCCCAGCCCGTCTATAACATGTGAACAACTTTCCTCTCACTCCCGATGTAGTGTGAAGCGGACTTTCGGGGGATCATGCAGCAGTGCATGCAGACGACCCAGGTGACCGAGGCGGACCTCAAGGACTTTATGGCCAGCGGCATGCAGAGCACTCCCAAGGAGAACCTCAAGTGCTACACCAAGTGTCTGATGGAGAAGCAGGGCCACCTCGTCAATGGGCAGTTCAATGCGCAGGCGCTGCTCGACACGCTGAAGAATGTGCCGCAGATCAAGGACAAGATGGATGAGATCACATCGGGTGTGAATGCCTGCAAGGACATCAAGGGCACCAATGACTGTGACACGGCGTTCAAGGTCACCATGTGCTTGAAGGAGCACAAGGCCATGCCAGGACATCACTAGGCTAAGTCCAGCGAAATCGAAATTCGTTTAAAGAATAAAATTCAATTTGAAGTTGCAGTAAAGCAGTAAAAAAGCGTATCCCTGATTTAATAATCATTCCAGGAGAATAAAAGATCACAGCCTATCGGCACTCCCCATCGATACATGACCTCGGGGACAGTACCGAAGCTAGCCCAAAACCCTACTCAAAACAATCCCACAACTCCACAACAAGGAATACAGAATGCGGGGGGTACAATGGGTCAATTCTCGTTGCCACATTCCACGATTTATCAAGTCTCTCCTGACTGGGCTGGGTTTCTGGGAAGCAGCCATTGACAGACTGTTTCCTAAGAGACAACGCAGCGCTTGTCTACGAAAATCATTTGTCAATTTTAATAAGTTTAAAATCAAGATAATTAAAGGCAGTACAAGAAGAGGACAGAGCGGAGAGAGAACCGAGAACACAGAGAAGACAGAGAACAAAGAGAACACAGAGAACACAGACAATCCTTTCCTTTTCTTTCCTTTCATTTTCTTCGGAACACTTTGACACCAATTACCGCTAATAAATCATTTCACGTGTGAGATACTCTTGCGCTCTCCCTGGGTAACATATGAGCTGCGCTTAATGGCTGATGGCTGAAGGGTGGATGGGGAGACGATGTAACCATAGAAGATGTTACATAAATCAACGCCGCCAGCCTGCAATGGATGAAGGCAAAACGGGGGTTCAATGCACTTGCACTTGGGGGTTGCCTGACGACAAAAGGATGGGGCTATGGTGGAGATTGGGTGTGAGACTGCCACACAGGGCAGCAGGTTGACAAGCCCCAGCGACAGTGAGACAACAAAAAATGTGTAAGCCAAGAAATTCGTTGAAGGACCAAGCCGAAACCGAAACCAAACCAATACGAGACAAGCCCAAGCCCAAGCCCAAGCCCAAGCCCTAGCCCAGGCCAAGTGAAGGCAATGACAATTTGAAAAAAGAATCTTTTGCTGCTTGTTTGAATTGAAAGGTCGAAGTCGGAGATGGCTATGGAGATGGTGATGAGGCTGAAGTTGCAGAAGGAGTTGGTGATGAGCCTGAAGATGGAGCAGGAGATGTAGCTGAAGACAGAGTTAGATCGTAGTTGGGCTGGGGCTGGGGCTGGGGCGGTGCCGTTGTCATGGCAGCCACATGCATACAAATTTTTGTACCCACTTCAAATTGTGCAGCCCGGCCATGCATATAATGGCCTGGCCTTTTATCAACTAACAAATACCCAGGGCAACAACACAAAAAAAACTTTCTCAACGATGGATGACTACAGTCGCAGACGGAAATGGAGCTGGGAGTTGGAGCTAGAGGCAGAGGCAGAGGCAGAGCCACTGGCAGGCAAGGCAGTTGCACTGGAAAACTCAATTTGAATATTGTTGGACAAAACAAAAAGAGACCCAAGAAGCACAATAAGAAGCAGAACAAAACCAAGACGAAGACGACGACGACGACGAAGACGAAGAAGCGCTCATGTGCCACATGATGAAATGCAGTCAAGTTAAAAAGTGTCACTTGAGTTATGAGTTCATTGTTTGAGGTTGCCAAGGGGACCAAGAGCCCTGGGAGAGTGGGGTGGAGCAGGCTGCTTTTCAATGGGGATATTGTGCCGCACTTTCCACCCATGCTGCCGCCTTATGCACCGATGCTGCCACACTGGACTGAGTCTTTGATAGTTAGCCGTGTGCCCAAGCCAAAGGGTTGAACATCGATGGGCGGCGGTGACGCACAAACGGCTGCTGAATGACTCAGGCAATAGCTAATGGATGGGCCTGCTCTGGACACAAATATATATGCGAAAGGCAGTTCTTGTTTATGCTTCCATCAATATGGTTTCGACTTGGGAGGGTTGCAGGTCCTTTATTTGATGCGAGAACTTTGATAGATCGGATTTTGGGCAGACTCCGAACTAGAACTAATTCTAAGATAAGTTTTATGCTAGCCACCCGCCCTCCAGCCACACAATTGTCACCCCAAGGGTACGACTTTGATCAACACTTGCTCGGGGTTGCCGTTCCCTGCCCCTGGTTCCCTGTCATCTCTCCCCGTATTATCTTAACCAAACGATCTTATTCGCCGATCCGTTGTCACAGATACCAGAATGTGTGATAGCAGGCATAGATGGAGGATGGAGGAATAATGGAACTGGCTGTCGCGGTTGCTGGTCTCTCGAGTCTAGAGTCTATGAAATGAATTTCAATTTTGAAAAATTGCTTTCGAATGCTTGTGTGAAAAACGGAAATGCCGCTTCCCCCTTGGTGGCCCTTTTGTTGTTTCCTCTGAGCGTGTGCCCAAATTAGAAAGCAAATGCCAGAGCCCGAGGGGATGGGCTGTCGGAGGAGGAATTATTGGCAGTGACAGGGGAGGGGACAGTGCCTGTAGTTGGTGCAACGTTTGACACTTTAGTTTCGGGGTTTTTATTCCACATTATGTGCGGGTACACGATTCCCCGCTCGGAAAATCTAACGGCACAGTGCGAGTGCCAGTGGCAGTGCCAGTCCCCGCTCAAAATGCACAGACACGACGCGACACGACACGACACAATGACGATCAGATCGAGGGTCCCGGGAGAGCATTTTCCTCATGCCCGCTGCATTTACATATCCAAAGTGTTTTTATTGCTAAATCCTTATGATGTGGGAACCGATCTGCCGGCTCTCCCGCGCTCCTTTGTTCCGAATTTAATTATCGGTTGCATGTCAACGCCTTTCCAATACCTTCATTATGCTCATAATTAAGCGCGCCTAAATATAGGTATATATTTTAGTGTGTGTGTGTGTGTGTGTGTGTGTGTGTGTGTTGCTGAATTCTAATTTTAATTGTCTATTTCCATCTCTCACCTACCAAGCACACTCGCATATTGACTGGAACACACAGAAAATACGGGGAAACAACGCTGAAGCGTAGAACTTTTATTCAAATTACCCGGATGTTAACAATTTGCTGTCCATGGGTCTTTGATCGCGGTGGCATTTGATTTATGAATTTAATTTAAGGTTGTGGCAGCGACCAACGTATGTAACGGTCTTCGGTTGAAGCCATGGGAATCGAAGGAATCACCCAAACATGCCCCCAATGATCAGCCCAGCATAAATCCAACAATTGCCTGCAGAATTTAAAGTGTGAAATTCTCTCTGGAATATTTTCCGTATTTTTCTAGCAATTTTCTGGTAATTGCTCAACTAGCAAAATTGGCTTAAAAACAGAACAGAAAGCCAGAACCAAAACCCAACCAATTTCCCATGCCATTTCAATCGCAGTCATGTGTATCACTCGACCAGCTCCGTGTTGGCTCTGAACAAACGTTAAATAAGCAAAACAAATGGGGAAAAAACCTGGCTAACCAACAGCTAAATGGACTAACTGACGGGGCTGGGGTGGAGGAATTGGAAAGTCGACGAGCTCTACTTGTCAATCAAATTGTCGCCGGGGCGGCACGCAAATTTATTAAATCGATATGCGTCAAAATGGAAAGTGGTTGGGGTTGAGTCGCGGGAAATCCCCTGCGTGTCAGACAGCCAAGAGCCCAATGCAAACATTTGCATTGATTGCATTTGATTTCGACAAGTAACGTTTGCGCCACCGATGGCCTTGGCCATGGCCAAGCAAATATTTGAAAGGGGAAATTCGTGAAAATCGAACAGTTGGAACTGTTTTGCGACACAAAACAAACCCCAAGGAGCGCTGGTTGCATTGCATCAATTTATTGTTATTACAAGCCATTTTCTAAAATAATTAATAGCAAGTGTCCGCGCAGGAGGGGTGCCTGTCACTGGCAGAAATCACAATTACAAGAACGGTTACATTCGCAACGAAAGAGAAAAAGGGAATGGGCTTCGGCTTCGGGAAACGGTGTGTGGGTAACGACGGCATGGTGTCCGGCAATTGTGCATTTTGTCAATGGGAATTAAATTGGCAGTCGTCGACTCTCAGAATGTCAACTCAAAGCAGCAGCAGCAGCAGCAGCAGGAACTGACAGAACAGAACAGAACCAGCGACCAGAGACCAGAGTTCTGGCTTTGAAAAGTGGCCTGGCTTGGAATGGGGCAGGGGCGCTGCTGCTCGACAGGATGTCAAAGTTCCTGAAGGGACTAAGCCTGGCTGGTTCAATTTGTGGGCATGTTGAGCGGTCTGTGGGTCTCCTCGCCAGGCAGGAGGGCATCGTGACGCCTCTACCCCAGCAGATTCGATCGTTCAGTTGGCTGGTCATTCCCATCATTAGCGCCTGTACGTGTCAAATTGATGCTGTTATTGTTCTCCCAGTGCGTGTGAGTTAGTGTCTCTCCCATACGCACATCCCGGTCCCTATTGCTGTCCAAGTGCCAGTACTGTCCGTGAGTACTATTTGACATTTAGCTTAGCCGCGGGTGACAAATTTAATGGCCAAACCTCTTTTGTCAGCTCACGGGGGTTGGATGGTCCTATTGCTATTGATTTTCTCTAGGACGAATTTATTCAACTATTTGACTGTCTAATTACTGGCCTATATGCGCGACATTTGGCATAAATATTTGGTAAATAGTGTGCCAAAAACTGGAACAATGAATGGCATTCAGCTGGCATCATTTCACCGCAAGATAAAGGACTTAGGAGATTGTCGGCTCAGTGGGATCTGAGTTGAACCCTTTCCTGACATTCGTGGCATATGGGTATGACTCTGGCGATAAGACTGACAAGCCCTAAGCCCTATCGTGCTATGGTCGTGACAATCCCCAGCACAACACAGCAGAAGATTTCCCCCAAGGGTGCAGGTCAATGATTTTGATTTTGGTATTTGGAAGTTCCAGAAGTTGTATTCGAATTACATTTAGAAAAGATTCCGCAGAAGTCAGGGCATGACCGCACACTCTCCAGCCATAAATCAATTAGTTGCGGACACTTTTCCAGCTCAAATCGAGCTCGTAAATTATAAAACACAAGCTGTGAATATGAATAAAAGGTAGCCAGCCGCAGAAGTGCAGTTGGAAATCGTATTCTCTCTCTCGTATTACCTGCACTCGGATACGTGTG